GGGTTCCCTCTTTTTGTGTTGTTTGGAATAGTTTCAGAAGGAGTGGTACCAGCTCCTCTTTGTACCGTCTGTAGAATTTGGCTGTGAACCTGTCTGGTCCTGGACTTTTTTTGGTTGGTAGGCTATTAATTGCTGCCTCAATATCAGATTTTGTTATTGGTCTATTCAGGGATTCAACTTCTTCCTGATTTAGTCTTGGGAGGGTGTAAGTGTCCAGAGATTTGTCCATTTCTTCTAGATTTACTGGTTTCTTTGCATAGAGGTATTTGTCATATTTTCTGATGGTAGTTTGTATTTCTGTGGGATTGGTGGTGATATCCCCTTTATCATTTTTTATTGCATCTATTTGACTTTTCTCTCTTTTCTTCTGTATTAGTGGTCTATTTTGTTGATCTTTTCAGAAAACCAGCTCCTGGATTCATTAATTTTTTTTTTGAAGGGTTTTTTATGTGTCTATCTTTTTCATTTCTGCTCTGATCTTAGTTATTTCTTGTCTTCAGGTAACTTTTGAATTTGTTTGATCTTGCTCCTCTAGTTCTTTTAATTGTGACATTAGGGTGTCGATTTTAGATCTTTCCTCGTTTCTCTGTGGGCATTTAGTGCTATAAATTTCCCTCCAGACACTGTTTGAAATGTGTCCCAGAGAGTCTGTAAGACTCATTATATCAAAAACCAATATCTTTACTCATAAACTTCTATAGTTATGGTTATTACTATTATCCGAAATCTCCAGGCTATTTAAATTTTACCAATGGGTTCTTAGGATAGATATTAGAATGTTTTTAGTGGAGGCTTTCTAACTCTGTTTTAGTTACCTAGATGAGATTATTTGATGGTGCTTAGAAGTTATTATCCACTTTATCTTTGATTTAGGGGTAAGGTACATAGGTAGTTTATTAAAATTTACTTCTCTGGGATTAAGGCCGCAAGAAAATATTTATTATTTGGAAAAAAGCTAGCTGTGTCTTTGATTCTTTTTTTATTGAGGGATGTTTATGTTTTGGCAAATTAAGCATTTTCATAGCAATTTACCTCACATTTTTATTATAACTATTACATACATGGGCTTTATTTGTAATCCAGAAAAGCGCTTGTCAAGGACTTACAGGTAGATACCACCATGCCTGGCTAATTTTTGTAGTTTTTAATAGAGACAGGGTTTTGCCATATTGGCCAGGCTGGTCTTGAACTCATGGCTCAGGTGATCCACCCGCTTCGGCCTCCCAAAGTGCTGGGATTACAGGATATATTTTAATTCTGAAAGAATTATCTGCTGCTCTGAAGTAGTTTAACCATATTAGGCCAAAGCAGGAATATTCTGAGGAAAGTCAGAAAATATTTTACTGATAGTTACATTGAGCAAATTTTTTAAAAATTTATTTTCTCAAATTAAAAAGGGGAGAGTTTTTACAGAGATAATAAAATTTTAAGTCAGAACTAGTTCTCTAACTAAAACTGCATGCAAGAAGAGAAAGTCTTAGACATACATAATTGCAACACAAGTAAGATAAGTACTAAAAATAGAGGTTGGGCAGATTCCTGGGTGGATGAGAGAGGGAGAAATTTACTAACATTTGTTACTTATTCTCAATCAAAATTCCAGGAATCAGCTATAGAGAATTCCCTTTGCGGTACATTGAGGGGTTTACTTACAACCACTTTCCGGGTTTTTTTCTGTGAGAATCTGCTATCCCTTCTGTTTCTTAATCTTTCAATTAACTGACTCAATTAAGCTTTAATGGCAGAATTTACCCTACCATTGAACTGTTACCATCCTGTTCTGACTAATGGCAGAATTTACCCTACCATTGAACTGTTACCATCCTGTTCTGACTAATGGCAGAACTTACCCTACCATTGAACTATCACCATCCTGTTCTGACTGGTTGGACTGAATGACTGCTGAACTTCACTCTTATTAAGCTGTCTATTGCAGTCCCCAAAATTTGAACCCAAAACACTTTGTCTACAAAACGGACAACCTGTTAGGTTCTAAAAAAAATAGCTAATTAATTGGTCTACTTTAGGGTCTCTTAAACTACCAGAGTCTGTAGTATGTAGCTTTTCAGTTAGAATGTTTTTAATTTTGTGTTTTATTTTACTGTTAATGAAATTATTTTACAAGACAGAGTGTCTTTTGCAATGCAAAGTCACAACTAAAATTGTTTTCATGACAGAATACAACCTGTTTCTTAAGTTTCTCAAGCTAGCTTCTCTATGAGCTCCTGTAGATCCCTGAGAATCCACATATTTCTGGGGTTCCACGCTTAAGTTTTTTTTCAGCTAGTCTCCACATTTCTCAGGTTTGAGAAATACTGAGCTAGCCCTTCAAAATTATTTCATTTTTTTTTTTTAAATGAATTGTGGTGATAGGCCTCATAATCTAACACAGTTCCTAAGGAATGGATGGGCTTTTTAGTTCTCAACCCTATTCTATACTCTGACCTAGTAGAAATTGATTTAGTTGTATTATGAGAGTTGTAACAGGTTTTTTATTTATTAACACTGATAGAGGCAGTAGACTTTGAAGTAAGCTAGACTTACCGAAATTCCAGCACTGCTAGTTTTGAGAAGTTGGTCAGGTAAATAGGCTGGGTTTAATATATCCAGATTTGGCCGATAATACCACCCTTGAAGGACGTTTGTGAGGAATAGAAATAACCAATGCAGAGCACCTAAAATGAGTGTGTCACACATGAATGCTGCCAAAGTAGTTGTTATGATATGAACAAATATTTGTGGATTAAGTTGTATGATATTATAGTCAGGATTATAATTGTTAAACTATACATAGAATTTATATTTAATTTTGCCTGTTTGGAGGTATGGTATATAGAACAAGCTACCCTCAAACATGGTACAAATTTAAAGGATAAATAGTGTCTAAAATTGTAGAGGAGTTAATGAATATCCATGACATTTAAAGAAAAGATTGGAGCTTGAGGCATCCACTCTTGACCTTTGAAGAGCATTTTAGAGGCTTCCAGTCCCACTTGTTCACAACTATTGAGGTCTTGACCTCTGTGGGAGATAGTCTTGAGTTTGGTGGGTGGATGGGTCCACAGAAGAAACAACAGTTTTTTATGCCTTTGTGTTTTTTGAAATCTGTTACTGAGGATGTTATTTCTGTTGTATATTTACCTTGTATTCGAGAATCATTTTGACATAAGGTCAGAAGACTAGTAATTTCCTGCTTTATTAAGGCTCTTCTGTGTTTGGTCTATATTTTCTTCCTAGAAGCAGAGATTTGAGATGAGATTTCGTAAAGACTGTGTATTAAGAAGGCCCCTCAGGAGAAGGGACATGAAGGCAGCAAGGAAAGGTCAGGGGAAGAGCAAAGCAAGAATATTGTTCCTCCTAGAAACCAGCTTCAGCCTGGAGCCACAGCGGGAGAAGGAGCTGTGTAGCGCAAATTGCCCACAGCAACTGTGTTCCCTTGATGCAAGGGACTGGCTTATTGGAACCTCTGCCAGTCAGTCTTTGCTGAGAGCAGTGGGGCGGTCACTTCCCAGTAGAGGCAGCTGCATCTCTGGGAGCCATTAGCCCCCATCAGTGCCAGCAGCTGGGGGATGGCTGCGCTGGCCCAGTGGACGGAGCCTGAGCAAGACCCTAGCAGCATCCTCTCTAGCTTCTTACCAGTAGACAAAGCTGTGAGATTGCTTACATGGCCACCTCTCTGCCTCGGTTGCTTGGAAGTTCTAAACTCAGTTTCATGTTTAATTGCTTTAGCAGGCTTCAACCAGGATGATTTAATAGCATTTTTTCTGTCTTCTTTTTCTTTATAACTTTAGTCTTTCATCTTTATCAGTTGTTTTTTTTACTTATTATACCTACAATTTTATTGTAAGTTGCCTCAAATTCTTTTTAAAGCCCTTGAGTCCAAAATAAAAATAAATATAAACCAAAAACCAGTTTTATAATTAGAGCAGTACCAGAGTCATCCTCCTTAAAAATTAGGTAAAATAAGTGTTGAATAGAAATAAGAGTATTTACTATTACAATTTTAACTCGGTACTAGGTATGGTTTTGTAAACTGCTCAAGAATAAAATAAACAGTAAGTATTCTAAATCCAAGGAAGGAAAAAACAAAATTGCATTTTTCCAGATGATACTTCTGTGTATGTATAAAGTGCAATGAAATTAATACAGAAGTTACTGGAGATGATGTTAATAATGTGACAGTGTTCTGCAGAATTATAGGCTTGGCTACAAATCCTCAAAAGCCAATTAAGTTAGTATTTGCTAAGGTCATATAGCTGACCATATAGTGATGAAAGATGTGAGAACACATTGTCCAGGTAAAAAATTGAACTTCTGTCTAACTACTGTAGGCCTGCTCTCCCCTACCTCATATTCACTGTGCTGACTAATGACATCATCCGCCCAGGTCATCCAAGCCTAAACCTTGGAGGTCATCTTCAGTATCACAGACCTTTACACCTCCTCAGACCTTTATACCTGCTGACCCTCACAACTAGTTAGTAGTTAACCAGCTTCTGACATTACCTACATTTCTCCCAAACCCATCCCAATTTTATACCCAATTCTTCTGACTTAATTTCAGTCTATCATTTTTGTCAGAATTACCAGATGCATTCTTCAGTCTAATATATAGATATAGATATACATGTGCTCCATAGGTTAAATAAAATTAAGTATAATATTTTTGGTCTTTTGGGTTTTGTTTAATGACTTTTTATGAAAGAAAAATTAGTAAGTATATTCAATAAATTAGACTAAGGTTTCTCGGACTCAGAACTGTCGACATTTGGGGCCAGTTAATTCTTTTTTTTTTTTTTTTTTTTTTTTTGAGACAGAGTCTTGCTCTGTCAACAGGCAGCAGGCTGGAGTGCAGTGGTGCAATCTCGGCTCACTGCAATCTCCACCTCTGGGTGCAAGCAATTCTCCTGCCTCAGCCTCCCAAGTAGCCGAGACTACAGGTGCGGGCCACCACGGCCAGCTAATTTTTGTATTTTTTAGTAGAGACGGGGTTTCACCATGTTGGCCAGGATGGTTTCAATCTCTTGACCTCGTGATCCCCCGCCTCAGCCTCCCAAAGTGCTGGGATTACAGGCATGAGCCACCGCGCCTGGCCTGGGGCCAGTTAATTCTTTGTTGCCAGAGTCAAAGTATCTTTGTTGCTTTGTAAGATACTTAACAGCATCCCTGGCCTCTTCCTAGTAGATTCTAGTAGCACTGCCTCCATTGAGACAACCAAAAATGTGTCCCGGCATTGCCAAATGTCCCCTACAGGCTAAACTTACCCCATGGAAAGGCACTGGATTAGACTAAGAACCATTGGGTAGCATTAGTCATGCTTTCTGTGCACCAACTGCCTTCTGTGTGTCATCTCGTTTAATCCTCACAAGAACTCTATGGATAGATGCCATTCTTTCCTCATTTTCACATGAGCAAACCAAGACCTTAGTTAAGTAATGTGTAATATGTAACCATGTACCCACACCAGGACTTGCACCCAGGTGGTTTGACTCCAGAACCTGGTTCCCTCAGGTTGGATCCATCTCCCCACATACTAGCTGTGTGACCTTGGGCAAGTTAGGGAACTCACTTCACCTCTGTCTCCTCAGTGTCCTGTAAGATCCTGAGAATAGTGCCTATCTGGTAGAATTGTTAGGTTTAAACCAGTATGCAAAAGATTTAGACCAGGACTGGCATGTGTTAGGAAGCACTTGCCATGACATGTCACTGAGAATGAGAGGTAAAAAGGACACCTCACCTCCTAGTCTAGTTGGAGATGCGATTATGCAAACTCATAATTTCATAAGTAGAGCGTTTTTATACAGTACTCATTACTTAACTGAAGTCTTGGTTTGCTTGTGAGTTGTGAGGATTAAATGAGAGCATTTATTAAATTCATAGTTTGTTAAATGGAGCATTTTCTGAGAGCACAGATGCAGGCTGGAACTTCTTGGCTGTCAGGATTGAGTCTAAAAGAGAGGTCCCGTATGAATCTTGAAGGATGAGCAGGAGCTTTGGTATCAAGACAGTGAGGCTGCGAAGAGTGCAGGTGGAGGGGTGAATGCAGCGGGGTAGGAATTCCTGTAGGAATAGAGAGACTCCACATCATTCATTGCATGATTGCCACTTCCAAATAGTACAATGGGCCATTATTTCTTATAAAATCACTGGTTTTTTGAGAGTTTGAAACATTCCTGTTTCTACTTAGGAAGGAAATATTCCAGAGCTAAATTAAAATATTTTTTGAAGTATATATAGAATGATATAGCAGATATGAAGAGAACCTTTACTGTAGGACAATAGGCTACGTAGACTGCATAAACCCAGCCACATTAAGCAAAGTGAGAGAACGTTAATGGGGTCAAAGCAGTTCTGTCACATTAATTTCATGAAAGCATTCTTTGTGTCAGAATTCTTTTTAATATGATACTTGTGTATAAAGTAACATTTTGACCACTCAGAAAGAATACATAAACAATCATTTAAACTTCTGCAAAATGATTCCCTTCCTAATTCCCATGTGTGATAATACCTTTTCGTTTTAGCTATTCCATTATAGCTAATGACATTGTTTCAGAAGAGAATGATGTCTACCCAGTAAAATATGTATAAAATATGTTAGTTTATATGCAAAAATGAAAGTTATTTACTTACATAAAAGATATTCTTCCAACTTCCTGAATTATTAATGTACAAAGAAATAGTCTTTCTTCCCCCTTACCATTGAATCATTGACAGTGACTAAGCTTCAATTAACAAATAGTTAGAAAGAATAGTGTGCAGTATTTCCTTTGCACCTATAGAAAATCCAAGTTTTACTTTCTTGCTAAAATATTTGAATCACGTATCATAATTTACATTTTAAAAGCATTCTTCTTTAAAATATATTTTGACGTTCATTAATTGAAACAGCTCATTTATAAGAAAATAACAATGTTTTTATTAACATGAATGAAATTTGAGAGAAAAAGTGACAACTTAAAGATAACTTTCATCATCCAAATACTAATAAATGAGAGAGGGAGTGGGATGGTAGTAAATCCAGACTGTTACAGGATAAATGAACTTAATTTGTGGAGAATCCTCTTGCTAGAAGCAGAGGGGAGTTCTGAAACATTTTAAAACATACTTTTGTTGTTATCACTTAGCTTGCACTTAATGCTTTAAGAGCCCTAGATATTTTAGTTTGGTTTTGGCTTTGCTTTACTGTGGTATCATTTACCAATTTCTTTTATTCAGTTCTGCCTAATCTTAGTTCGCTATAATATTGTCAGCTGTTACAAATATATGTAGCTGGTTTTCTAAAATGAAGAAGAAACGGGCTAGTCACAGGAGGTAGGGACTTGGGATGGATGGTTTTGGCAGCATCTGAATGGAGTAGCCAGCTCTTGTATTCCTAATGTACTTTCACACACTGTAGCTTTAAAACAGAAGCAGGTTGCTCTGTTGTTGCCAACCAGGTAGCAAAGTGGATAATATTCTTGGTTAACATCAGGGCAAGGTACTTTTAATACTTGGCAGTTCAGCTCTTTTCTAAAATCCAGTTCAAATGCTGTGTCAGCAAATTATCTTTAGAAAGAAAAAAGCTGTCAATTAATTGCCTTCTGAATGTAATCAGAACCTCTTTCAATTATAAATCCTTAAATAAAACTTGGAAACAATAATGGAAAAAATAAAGAACTCTTCAGACAGATATAATTGTATATGATCGTTTTATTGGCATTTTAAACTACCTTGTAGTTGTTAAAGTATTTTACATTCTACTTTCTTTGTAGGGAAAGTTAAGCATGATTCTGATTTTTTTAAATCTGAAAGTCCCATTTGGCACAAAAAGTTCCATTATGTATTACGCAGATATTTACACATAATCCCTCAGGTTGCGTGTGGAATTGTTCTCCGGCTGTGTGGTAGAGATAGGCTGCTGCGTGGGTGGGTTGAGCCAAGCTTCTGGATTCCTTTTTATACAGGAGGTGCAAAAAATCATGCCAGAGATAAACAACAGCATTGCTGAAATGAATCCGATATAGATAGCTCCTCCAGGTTCGTGTTTGTTGCTTTCTGGAACTGTCAGATCCAGAAAGTTTGCTATGATCTCCTTTGTGTACCACACTGTCGGGATTAAACTGGAGATTCCTGCAAACATGAAACAGACTCCTCCAGCAAAGGAAGCATGGCTCTTGGTCTCTCTGTCCCCTCCTAAGCGAGTACATTTCATTCCTACTGTGGAAGTGCAGATCCCCAAAGCAGACAGAACACATGCCAGGACCATGGTGGCTCTTGCAGCCTGCACGTGGATGGGGAGGGACAGAATGGAGTGTTTCAGGGCACAGCTGAACATCCCGGTGCTGTACCACGTACAGTCCATCCAGAGCCCATGCAGCTGCACAATGGCTGTTACGATGTTGGAGCCCACATCCACATTCACCTTCCAGTTGGGCAGCAGAGTGGCGGTGAGCACTCCAGAGACCCCGGATAAGGCCAGGATGAAAGCAAGGAGCTGGAGTCCTGCCGAGGCCATGATGTTACTGTTAACTCTGTCCTCTTAGAAAATCCTGATGCTTAACTATGATGGGTGTCAGAACTCTATCTATTCTGTGCAGTAGAGAACCAAATAACAAACCCTAGGGAAAGAGGACAAAATCAGGACTAAGGAAAGAAAGTGTGAGTAAACAAAAGGCTTCGCTTTAGAGTAGGAGCCAGGAACACATCTGAGTACTCCCCCTTCTCCAGCCCCTAAGCAGCTGAGCATGCTGTAGTCTGGGAGGAGAAAAGCTCCCACCAGGCCTTGAAGGGATGCGCATGGGTGGTGTTGATACAGGGCATAAAGAAAGCAGTTGCCCACTTAATTCTTTTTAAAACTCAACAGACGCGGAGACTGTCTGTAAAGTGGACATGTACCTTGTTAGGAGATGTAGACATTTCAAATTCTAGCTACAGTGTCCAATAAAGAATTTTAATAGCATTATAGGTTTCTAAATGATTTTATTCTTAATGAAAATAGTAGGTAAAAAGGAAGAAAATACATTAAGGTCACCTTTTAAAGATGGTTTACAAATACGTTTTAGAAAAGAAGTACTTAAGAAGTGGCTTTTATAAACAGGTCTTTATGACGCACCCACAGTGCCGGGCACGTAGGCTGGGTGAACCATTTGAGGGGAAGAAAAGCAGTGGAAAGACAGCTAAGTCACTAGCGTGCCTATCCCTAAGTTCTAGTTAATACCTGCTTGCAAAATCCTGACTGAGGTTAGTACTTGTTTTACTTCTGGTACCTGGTACTCAGCCACTGTTTTTTTTTTTTTTTTTTTTTCATATGGGAATGTGAGGTCCTTTCTAGCTGGGACCAGAATAATTTCCTTACCCAAATGAAGTCGGCTATTCTGAACAATTCAGAAGTAGTAATGGCAGATATCAAAAACACATACCGGCAATAACCACATCATTAGTTGTATGTGAAAGATACCAGAAATAATTTAACGCTTTATTTTCTTTCTTTATTTTTACGAGAAAGGAAAAGACTGCACCTACTTTGTGGCTTGGCTGTGTTTTAAGAAACAAAAAGGCTTCTGATTCCATCTTTCTATTCCTGTTCCCCCATCTAGCCCATCTGGCACTGCTTACTGCTTTCTTTGAGAAAACTATAATGGTTTCTGAGACACTGCAGTACTGACTTTCTTTGTTGTTCTGAATTAATTTTGAATGATATGCTAAAGTGGCTCTATTGTGGTTCATATGTATTTCACAAAAGGCGATACAGGCTCTTCAGTCAAAAACACTTGGGCTAGTTGTTAGCTTTATACCTCTCTGTGCCTCAGTATCTTCTTCTGAAGAATGGGGAGGATTGCCAATACTTCTTTCATAGAGTTAAATAGGTTAATATGTTTTAAGGGCTTGGAACAATATTTAAGCCACAGAAAGTCCTTTGTAATTTAAAATTGACATCATCATTAGTATTTTTATTTCTTGTGTATTGTGACAATTGATGTTTAAAATTAGATCTTTTCCTTTTTTCTCTTCCTTCTCTGGGCTGATTTATTTTCATAGAATCTTGGAGCTGAAAGAAACCTCAGACAATCTCAGGCATCCTCGTTTTTTCCGATTAGGATGTTCAAATAGGCAATCACTCCATGCTAGCTGGCTGCCAGTCTTCAGCAGCCAACCTGCAGTGTCCAGATCTCTCTTCACCCCTCCTACCTCACTGGATCATCCCTCCTCTTTTCCCTCTTTATCACAACACTCCTGAAATTCTCCCCTGAATTTCCCAGTGTTTCCCATGGGAACCAGGGAAAGCACTACATCTGGAGGCAAAAAGCACCATTAACTGCCTACTTCACCCACTGCGCTCCCCAACAGGGAAAAAAAGGACTGTAGAGGATGTTAATAGGGCAAATGGCTCAGCTTCAGATGACTTAGCAAGGACTGATGCCTGGCTTTGGTTCAATATTTGAAATACTACTCATCCATTGCCTATATTTAAAGTACAAACTTTGCATAGCTACAAACATTGATTCTCTAAGACATTAGATCCTAGGCTATCTGGATTGTGCTGTTCTGTTTTTATTCATAATCTTAAAATGTAACTCTTACCATTTTAGAAAAGGATTTCCCTAGGATTTTAAGTCCTTGAGAGTCTGACTTATCTGTAAACATCAGTGTACTTAGCATTTGCCTGCTCTCATACAGTTTGTTTCTTTTCTGTTTTTCCAGACTTAGACCAAAACAGAACAAAAGCTAAAGTTTCTAGAAAAAAATCAAGCACATGTTTACAGTTTTATAATAGCTGTTTTCAAGTTTAGGTTTTAGCATTTCAGACTCCAGCCAGCTTGCTAAATTACTGCCTCCGGACCATTTTCAGCTTAGGGATTCTTCAAGTGTGGGGTTCCTGTAACGTTTTCTAACAGCATCTGCTTGCTTACCTTTTCTCTCTCCCTCTCTTTCTTTCTACTTTGACTGAATAACCTTTGTATGTTATCAATCTGTGTTCAGCTTACCAATTATAATCCTTTTCTTCCCATTAATCAATACATTTTGTAACTTTCAGTATATTTCAGACATGAAGACAGTTTGTTCATCACAATTAACAAGTACTGGCAGTGATCAATTACAGACAGCCAAAATCAGTGTAAACAATATGATACTGCATTTAGTTAGTATAGTGCTTGCTTACTATTGAATATTGGATTCAAATACTTTTTTTCTGCATAGAGAATTATAGAAAGAATTTGTTCTCCATATGAAGGTTGCCTTCTGCTCATACAAATATACTGGCATTTTAGCTGTATTGCAGCTACCCTCTAGCCACAAGCATAATACCGTTTGTGGCCTGTTCTCTCAAAATTTCTATCTCAGAGAGAATAAAGGCATGCTGTTTCAGCAGCTGTGGTGGTAGTAGAGAAATACTTGTGAAAGCAAGCAAAAGCAGAGGGGTCACATGTAAAAAACTTGGTCTGCAGCAAAAGCTCTCTCATGGTCTTAAAACACAGTGCACACAGAACAGAACCTAAGCACGTTCAATTTCTGAACTGTTCCACCAACAGAAAGTCTGTTGTAGATTTCACTAAAATGTAAAGTTGGCTTTCCAGACAAGATTTTTTATATCAAAAATAATATTTAAAAGCAGATTTACAACTTATAATTCAAACTAAATAATATCAAAAGATCTGTTCTTAGATCTCTAAACATTACAGACACATTTTATTTCCCCTACCTTTTGTCAGTAGCTTTCACTGTCTTAACTCCTTCAGTCACTTGTCTTCAAATTAACCTCAGTTAGTTATGGTGAAGAAGAACCATATATGTGAGGTTTATTTCAGAAATTCTGGGTATTTTTATAAAGCTCCAACAAGTTAACTTGAAAATAGCAAATAAAGGACAATGTAGAAATCTGAGAGGTAAAAACTGCTGATGGTGCTAGAAGATAAATACCACGTTCTCCATCTCATTTTTTGAGATGTGGGAAAATTAAGAAAGGAGAGGCGGGGAAGGGAGGGAGTTGTTGTTACAACAGGATTTGTTGAAACCTGAAAGCTAAAAATGCTTTTGTTGCCCCTGTGTACAGAGGAGGAATTATTTGGGTGCTCACAAAAAGGCTTTCTTTTCTTTTAATATTATGTTTTAGTCACATAGTTATAATTTATTTTTGAAATTTTGTCTGTGTTGAAAGATATAATTTATTATTTTATGCCCTCAGTTAAAAATGTGGTCCGAAATATTTTTAACTACGTTGTGCTTTGCAAATGAGAGTTGAGACTCCCTTTTTTTCCTGGTATTCTTGACTTGTCTGAAACCTGAATTCTTACAATTGTTAAATTTTAAAAGAATGCTTTTTAAAATATGTTGTATATTTTTTTCAATAAAACCCAGCAACAACTTTTGACTAGAATCTGATCACTAAACCTACAAGTATTTTTGCGTGTGTGGTGCCCTGAGTTTTCTTGTTATTCCTTCCACTTAGAAAGATTTGTGGAAGTTGACTATGTAGATTTCAGGAAATGTTATGAAGAAATCACCCAAAATAACGTGATGAGACCTGTCAGATAAGACTGTGATCAGATACTGAGGTCGTAGCCCATGAATAATGGTATAGATGTATCTCACTGCCATTCTTTTGGCTTCTCATTTTTGTCTTCCTCAGTAAGTTGGATTCTACAAGCTATAAATTCATACCCATTATACAGAAATAAGATAATTTTATTATTGGATTTTTAAATGTAACAACTGTTAACCATGTTAGACTTTAATCATTTCTTTAAAAGTAGTAAATAAACAAACACGTTTCAGTTATCTGGATTTTTTGTTTTTGTTTGTTTTAATCCTAAGTTTGGCATTTAGCAAGATACTGTTTTCCTCTTTGGGAAATCTAACATCTGTGGGTTTGCTTTTCAGCCATAGTATTGATTACATGTTAAGTCTTACCTCTCTAAGTCTTTAAGCTTTGAAGTCTGTACTGACTTTGTTCTTATATTTTATTTCATGGGAAGTATAAACAATTCAGTGTATAAATAAATACTGGAAGAAGCAGAGTTGAATTGCAGGCACTAGTAGTCACAGCAGTGTTGTTAGTGCTGCATCAGAAGAAACCTCACTGGGGCCCTCCAGCATCCTGGCTTGTTTTGCCAGTCGCCGTGGTTGTTAGTGCAGACACAACCTTTGTGAGGCTGACCGATCATGATGGCAGGTGGAAGGGACCCAGCTGCTCCCCACTCTAACCTCTAGCATAAGGAAGCTCGCTGAAGAATAAACGGGTTAAGTGTGCTTTAATGTACATTTCTATTCTCAAAACATTTTGATTATTTTTCTGCCTTGATGAAAACAGTAATCCTATAAAACATTGCCTGCTTTAGAAGGAAAAACTTCTGAAATGAAAGCAACTTTCATTAGCTATAGACCTTTCATGAAGGCAGAATTTCTTATACAAAAAAAAGGAGCTAGAAAAGTAGAAGTATAAATAGAAATATAGTTCATCAACATTACTATCTACTCCTGCTGTGGATATTAAAAGGATATTAGTCTTTGAAGTCCAGATACTCTCCTAGATAAATCTTATGGCCACTCAGCTGAAATCTCTTGCCCGGGCCTCTCCCCTGAACTTCCAAGTTGTATTTCTGTCTGCTGATTTGGTGTCACTGATGGACAGCTCAGACCTGTCATGGCACAAAACTGAACTCCTGACCATCCCCAGACTGTTCTCCCCAAGGTTTTCCTGTGTTCATTTATAGCAAACACTTCCTTCCATTTGGTCAGCCTGCGGTCTTAAAAGTCATCCCTGATTCCATTCCTAATATCTCTTCAGTCAGCAAGTTGTTTGGTTTTTAACTTCAGACTAGAACAAGAGCGTTCCACCTCTGAGCCCCTCTTCGGCTTCCACTGTAGCTCAAGACCTCTGAGGTAGAATGTCAGCCCCACAGGACAAGGACTTCTCTCTGTTCGTTCATCACTGATTCCCCCTGTGCCGGGAGCAGTGCCTAGCACATAGTAGGGGTACAGTAAGTATCTGCTCAATGAATTCAGAAACTGACTTTAAGTATATAATGTTAAACTGTAGATTGTACTTGAATGATTAAAAATATAATTTTATTTCTAAAAAGGATGAGTTTTTAAGTAATTTTGCAACTCCAGTTTCATCATCTTGCTGTTGATAATATCTACCATTTATAACCTGCTTTCCAGATGCCAGGTACTGTTTAAAGTGCTATAATACTTAATTCTCAAGACAAACCTATGAGATAAAAGGAAGCTTCATTTTATAGATAAGAAAACTGGCTGGGCACAGTGCCTCATGCCTGTAATCCCAACACTTTGCGATGTTGAGGTGAGTGGGTCTCCTGAGGTCGGGAATTCAAGACCAACCTAGCCAACATGGTGAAACCTTATCTCTCCTGAAAATACAAAAATTAGCTGGGCATGGTGGCACACCAGTAGCCCCAGCTACTGGGGAGGCTGAGGCCAGAGAATCGCTTGAACCTGGGAGATGGAAGTTGCAGTGAGCCGAGATCGCACTACTGCACTCCAACCTGGACGACAAAGCAAGACTCTACCTCAAAAAAAAAAAGAACAAACTAAGCTACAGAGAAGTAACTTTTGACTAAGGCTGTAAAGTGAGTAAATTGCAGGAATGGGATTGAGGCCCAGAGCAGTGATTTTTGAAACTCTGACATACTACCTAGCACCGCCCCACCTCCAGTTAGAAAGAGCGCATTTGTAAGTCTTACTCCTCTGTGGTAGTTTATAAGCTGTGGAAACAAATTAACCCAGAAATCTCTGTAGCTTTACATATCAGCGTTTACTTCTCAGTCCCACAAAGTCCATTGTGGGTTGAGTGACTGCAGTCCATCTGCTTTCTCCTTTAGAATGTTTTCATTTATCTTTAAGCAGAAGTTACTTTTGCTTCTCTTAGTGTGTGGTGTTGCTTAGCGATGTTAATCTGGATGTTCAGGCAGGCTTTTATTTTCTTTCTGAAAGAATCAGTAATTTAACTGAGTATTTTGGAAATAACAATACCACACCTTCCTATAGAGCTTAACAGTTTATAAAGCATTGCGCTCCATCTTCTCATCACTGAATCCCAGTAACAGGCTTATGAGAGTTATTTCCTCTACCCTAATAGAAGAATCCTGGGGTTCATTGGGGTTGAGGGGAAACACTTTGGTGGCTGACATTTTCTTCAATAAAGAGTTTGAGGCCACCAATAGAGGCATTGTGAGCCATCACAGTAGTTTTTTGTGGTGGAATTTGTGGTTTACAGAGTACTTGGCTATGGTGTGGAGGATTTAAAGAGATCAAAATTGGAGACATAGAGACTCTGGGAGGCTCTGGTCATGGAAGCAATTAAATGGAACTAACTAGATGAGTAGAGATATTGCATAGGAAATGGATTCAAGATAAAGGGTGTTCATAAATTCTGGAAATACAATTAAATATATGTAATGTAGTTTAGGGCATCTTTGATCTGTAAAAAGAACCCAGAATTTCCTGTCTACATTTTGAAAACAAATTTGTAGAAGGTGCTTTGGGCTTATGTAGAACGTTTCAGTGAATAAATTACAGAAACTCTAACAGTAGACTAAACTATAAGTACTCATTGTTTGGGAGTCAGTACTGTTCAAGGTTAATTCTGCAATTTAAAACTCTTCTTAAGGGTTCCAGCTAATTCTGTTTTTTCTGTTCCTTCAAACTGAGCTTTTCTTGGCTGTGTGAAAGTTGATTATACAAATTTGATCATTCTTGTCTTACCCAACTAAATCAGAGTGAAGGGCCCAGGAGGAAAAAGCACTCAGGGCACATAGCACCTGCTCCAAAATTTACATGTTCTGTAAGCCTAGCTGTTGAAACTGCCTGCTGTAACACCAAGACCAGTTTTACCTAGTAGCTGCTGGGACCACCTACTGGGACTCTAAGACTGGTTTTACCCTCTGTCGTCACTCACCAATCAGAGCATGCCCACAAAAGTGCCAATGAACTTTCTTTCAAAACAACACGTAACATTTCTCTTACTAATAAAACTCCCAACCTTCTCTTTGGTCTTTGGACATACTGAAGACCACCAGGAATGTATGTAGGCCCTGAATTACAAATCTTGTTTCCCAAATAAAACATTGAATTCGGAGATTTGTTTCTATGTTTTATTTTTACTTCCAACAGCTATGAGATGGCTGCCCCAGCTGACCCTTTCATCAAGAAGCAACATGTTCTATGGCTAGGCACAGTGGCTCACGCCTATAATCCCAGCACTTTGGAAGGCCAAGGCAGGTGGATCACTTGAGGCCAGATGTTTGAGACCAGTCTGGCCAACATGGTGAAGCCCTGACTCTACTAAAAATACAAAAATTGGCCAGGCATGGTGCCACCTGCCTATAGTCCCAGCTACTTGGGAGGCTGAGACACCAGAATCACTTGAACCCAGGAGGTGGAGGTTGCAGTGAGCCAAGATTATGCCACTGCACTCCAGCCTGGACAAAAGTGAGACTCTTTTCAAAAAAAAAAAAAAAAGAAAAACAGCAAAGTATTGTAGAATTCTCTTTCCCTCTTCCACTGCCACCCCAGACTTTCCTCTAATGTCTCATTTTCCAGAACTGGCTCATTTCGTCATTCTTAACTGAGAGCGAGACTGAGGAAGTTTGTGTCTGATTTTCATCCTTGAGCTGTACCCAGCATGGACTCGTGCTGGCTTTGGGGGTGTCACGGGGCTCTAGCTGCACTTCTAGTGAATTTAATCTCCAGGATCTGAGTGGACTGTGTGATACATTCCCAAGCAACTGGGATTGTTCCCTAAACCTGTGATTCTCACTTCTGCCCACATGAGGGCTTTGGAAAAGCCCAGAGGACCAGGCTCAGGCCCAGCCCAGTGGCACTTACTTAATTTTCTGGGATGGAGCCCCATCCTTGTATTTTTCAAATGCTGTCCAATTTAAAAACCAACAGTGTTGTGTTGGTTTCTAGTGACTGTGATGGTTACTAGTGACTGTCAGATTGATTGGGTTGAAGGTTACAAAGTATTGATCCTGGGTATGTCTGTGAGGGTGTTGCCAAAGGAGATTAACATTTGAGTCAGTGGACTGGGAAAGGCAGACCCACCCTTAATCTAGACGGGCACAATCTAAACAGTTGCCAGCTCGGCTAGAATAAGCAGGCAGAAAAATGTGAAGAGAGAGACTGGCCTAGCCTCCCAGCCTACATCTTTCTCCCGTGCCGGATGCTTTCTGCCCTTGAATATCGGACTCCAAGTTCTTCAGTTTTGGAACCTGGACTGGCTCTCCTTGTTCCTCAGCCTGCAGATGGCCTATTATGGGACCTTGTGATCGTGTGAGTTAATACTTAATAAACTCCCCTTTATATATATCCATTAGTTCTGTCCCTGTAGAGAACCCTGAGTGATACAAATGTTTTTTCTTGTTTGCTTTCCATTCAACCTTGAAAATAATGATAGTTCAGAGTAAGATAAAATAGCTACCTGTCCCAGCCCCACAAATTTAAAGTGATTTGACCTAATCCTAAAATAATGTTTTTCTTCTGACCCAGCCTTAGGAAATGAACAGTATCGGCTCTGAACAAATGTGCTGACCAGACATCTTTAGTGTGATGTCTAGTCCGTTTGACAATTACAGTTTATTATGAATTACTGTATTTGTATTTGTATGCATGTTTATTTACTAATATTAAGAGCAGCAGCATTTATCAAGTGCCTGTGAGTTTGTTTAGATTGCGAGCCTCTCTGAGGTACTGGGTTCGCCCTGAGGGGCTGGAGTTGCTCTGAATCTGCAGCGCTGGGGGCCAGACCCTGGCAGTTGCTGATGTGCTGCCACACCATGGCCAGACAGGGCAGCCTTGAAGCTGCCTCAGGCAACTCCTGCCATACCCACAAACCAAGCGGGAGCATAGCCTGGGACAGGAAACACAGGGTACCTCCCGATGCTGCTGCTTCACAGGAGCCAAGGTCATGGTTTGTGGAAAAGGCTTGGTTTCAGGAAGGTCTTTTCCCTATGATCACCCGAGAACTCCAGATGAAATATAACAGAAAATCTTTATACAACAGTTGTTAGTTCTTGTTCCGTTTGTGCTTTCTTGAGGATTACACGTGCATCTCCCTGAAATTGTTTCATCTCTTGGGACCAAGAGACACTGACTCATCTTGTTGTTATTACTAATCAGTATAATTTACATATATACATATTTACATACATAATTTACATGGCAAAAAAAAACCTCTTCATCCCCCTCACCACATTTCTTAGTCTTATTTCTCATTGTGATCTGAGCTCCCTGTCATTCTCTTGGCCTCGGTTCTTCCTACCACATCTGCTCTGGGAGGAAACACTGTGTGACTGTTGAAAATCTGTTCCTTTTTTATGATCCCAAGGAAAAAGAGAAAAAGCCAAAGATCTGTAGAAAGAAAAAAGGGTGAGGACAGAACTTCTGCAGAAATTAATATTGTTACAGTAACATGAATTGTACAGTTTTAAGATAGGTACTGACCGTGTAGTCGATCTTTGTTGAATCAATTAGTTTGAAATACTTAGAATGCTGTCAGCCTTAAGGTTTTACAGTGGAAATTCTTTCCTGAAATTGCCTTTGGAACATGGATCACAGGTAGAGTAAACCAATTCTAGGAAATATGATATACATTCACACTTGTCAGTATTTTGTTCTTCTGTGACATGCATCATTATCATATCATAGGCATCAGTGACTTGCTGCCTCTGCCTGGGATTATCCTTACTGGGAAAGTTGTAACCTGGAGGCCTGTGATGTTCAAATGTGGACTCTCACTAGCTTGGTGGAGGGACTTGAGTAAGCAGACACTGGTGGGTGGGGAAACCAAGCATCCGGGACACTTGCCTTGCTCTGTTGTTTACCCAACACTAAAGTGACTCTCCGAAACCCCTGTCCTCCTGTGTTCCATCTTTTGGTGCCTATAGCCTGCAAGATGCCATATGCTTCCTGTTCCCCACACTCAGGTCTGTCCATGATCGTCCCACTTTGAACTTTGAATCCTTCTTATATGTTGTTCTTTAAAGTCTTACTGATTATTCCCTGTACTCCATTTTTCACTAGCCTTTCCATTGTCTCCAAGTTACAGCTGTCTCTTGGCTGATCCAATAGTAACTTCCTCATCATTTTTCCCCTCCACTCCCTTGTCCTCTAATGGTCTTGAACACCATGGAAGTGTTGAATGAAGACTCTTTTGTAGACAGTGGCCAGTATTGTTTCTGTGTCTGTGCATGTGGTCGTGACTTCGTTTTTGGGCACATGATAATCATCAGGAACGGAGTTGTACATTGTTCAGTGTCCTCTGTATATCATGTTGATTGCAGTTCTCAGTTATAAAATCTAAGATTTAAGGTTTAATATCTCCTTAGCCGAGGTCCCTTGTGAGTTCCAGGTGCTGCTCTGAGCTGATAACTAGTCCCGGCCTAGATACCCTGGCCTGGAAACC